AGAATAGAATAGAATAGAATAGATCTTTATTGTCATTGTACAAAAGCACAATTAAATTTTATCTGATGTAGTCTAGGTAAAAACACAGGATTTGACATAACAGTTTGCAGACTTGTGTTTCCATCAGGTTCTGAATCTGATTAAATACAGTATCACCAAACAGTGGTGGGCAGCACTAATCTAAATATTAGTTGCACTAACCCTAAAGCACTCACTCAAATATTTGTCATCAAGAGGTTTGATAGCTGCCKATGTTTGTCTTAAACACTATTTGTCTACTGTTTGTGTTACTTCTATTTTTCAGTCTGTACTCAACCTAAATTTGGTAATTCAACTCTCAAATGTCATTTCATTAAGTTTTGAAACATATGTCAACGCCTAGATTACTACTTTGACTCATCTAGATTGTTTGTACTAATTGTCTAAATCTGTTTAATGCTACTGTATTTTATGATATTTTTCTTTTCTACAATGTAACTTTTGTGTCAACTRCCCTGTGACGTGTGCTGCTGACCTTTTGACCAGGTCACCCTTGGAAAAGCGATCTTGATCTTAATGGGCTCTATCTGGTTAAATAAAGGGGAKTGATTGAAATATTTAGGTCCCTTTCTAAAGCACTAACGCACTGAAAWTTTTAGCAAAAGCTAATYCGAAAGCACTAATATAATCCAGYTGACACATGAAACATTCTTCAGAGTCAACATGAGACATTGTTGTCACTAGTGTCCTTGCAGGGCCAAATGAGTCACCCGCAGGCCACATTTGGCCCGCGGRCCTTGAGTTTCACACGTGACCTTGTAGATAAGTGACACATATGAACAAAATGTACAGCTTTCACCCTCAACTGTGAAGAATAATGTTGATCAGCAACTTTTAAAGACCTCAGTTAGGTGCTTCTAAATTTAGCCCATAAATTTAGCAGGTGCTAATCCACTAATAGTGTGAACGCTTTGAAGYATTGAGATCATTTTTTTCTTTTGTACGYTTTTCAGCATCTAACTCATTCCACAATTTTTGTACTATTTCAACAAATAATATATCAAAACATTCAGCTCATTCATGTGAAGACTGCTATGACTTTTAGTATTTCAGCTATTTATACTTTCTTAGATATTTCATGTTTTCAGCCACTTTTTTGCTATTGAAAATTAATGGAACTGTTTTCAATATCCTTAAACTCCTTTGAAATGTTTCTAAATCTTTACAGCACTTTACACATTTTGTTCCGTTTATGCTCTTTTTCACTTTTCTGTGCTAATTTTAGCTACTTTTTAAAATATCCTGATGCATCTCAGTAATCCAGGTAAAAAATCAAAAGGAAAAAAAAATTGTATAGGTCCTCTGGACGGGTTCTTCTTTAATGAAACRTTTCGTCTCTCTTCCAAGAGACTTYTTCAGTCTGAGAGTTTCAGGCAAAATTCAGGCTTTTGAGTCCTGCCTCCAGGTGACTGATACTCACATCACATGGCTATCGTTGACACCTAATTAATACCTTTTGTTAACAGGGGGTGGAGTGATACTGCCAATGGCAGCGCTGTAGGAGGGGGACAGCTGAAAACGGAGGCCCCCACCTCTGTTTAATGATGGACGGTCTTTCAACGTTCCTCCCTATCATTCTTGATAGAGAGGAACGTTGGTTTGAGAGAGGAGTAAAAGAAGCCATTTTTGTGAAGAAAGACTGTCCGTCATTAAACAGAGGTGGAGGCCTCCGTTTTCAGCTGTCCCCCTCCTACAGCGCTGCCATTGGCAGTATCACTCCACCAACAATAGGTGTTAATTAGGTGTGAACGATAGCCATGTGATGTGAGTATCAGTCACCTGTGAACGATAGCCATGTGATGTGAGTATCAGTCACATGGAGGCAGGACTCAAAAGCCTGAATTTTGCCTGAAACTCTCAGACTGAAGAAGTCTCTTGGAAGAGAGACAAAACGTTTCATTAAAGAACCCATCCAGAAGACCTATACAATTTTTTTTCCTTTTGACTTTTTAAAATATTTTTAGCTTTTTTCTGCTATTTAGCTAAAGTTCTGCTTTTTTCTATTTTGCTTTTCTCTACTTTGTTGTGCTTTTTTACTGCTACCCTGTGCTTTTTAGACTTCTTACAGATGCTTTCTGCTAAATTCAGCTATTTTCTGAAACTTTAGCTGTGAATGTTTAGCTGCTATAAGCTAAAGTTAGCTTTTCTGAGCTAAATACATTATTTGTAGCTATTACAAATTTTTTCAACTGAGTTCAGCAAACTTGTCCTCCTTATGCTTCTTAAAACATTTACAGCTACTTTTTAGCTGTTATACTGAAAATTTCAGCTGTTTTAGCTATTTTACTACAAATTATCACTTTTATGAAATTTTATGATTTTTTTCTGCCTTTTTTTTCCTGTTCTAGCTATTTTCTGACTAGAACTAGTTCAACTGGGTGCTAATTTCAAATTGTGGCTGCTTTGGCTTATTTTATGCTAATTTTAGCTATTTTATGGTACTTTAGCTATATATCTGCTTCTATCTGCTATTCTTCTGTCTTTTTCTACTTTTTACGCTTTTTTCTGCTACCTATGCTATTTATGCTTCTTAAATGTTTTCAGCTATATTCAGCTATTTTAGCTCTTAGCTTTTAGCTGTTTTCTACTAGATTTGTGCTTCTTTTTACTGTTTTTCTGCAAAGYTAGGCTTTTTTGCTTCATTCAGCTTTCAAAGTGAGCKCACATTAACACTTTTCCTATTAAATATTTTCAGCTCAATTTSARCAGCTTTCAGCTRAAGTTTTCAGCAAGAATTATTCGCACCAGCATTTTCGCAGGAAATGCAATTTCTYTAGTGAATTTTAAAATTAGCAAAAGYCCTAAAGCACTAATCAAATAGTYMCCCTATTAGTGCTTCTAAGTCCTTCTGTATTTAAAATAGTTCACTAATGTTCAGCATCAGACTTTAACTTGAAYAAACTGAAATGTTAAAACAGTKTCTGACAGGAAATAYGTTTGTAAAGTTACACAGTCAAAAATTACCACCAATATTTTTGTTTTATGTAACCTTTTATAAGAAAAAAAGAACAGATTTATTTTTCAAAGTCAGTTTTTCACCATATGATTCATACATTTATAAATGTCATAGTTTATTAACTAAATATTTAACTTACAAATTAAATAT